CTTCTCATCCTCCGTCTCCGTCTGCCGGCGACAGAAAGAAAGAGAAGCCACCGGCGTTAGCCGCCTCGGAGCAGCGCAGCTCTCCCACACCACGCCTTGCGTGTGCGGGAGGGAAACGCTTCCCCTTACAGGAAATGTAAAGGAAAACCTGCGCTTTGTGAAATACGTGTTTTGACAGCTAACGTACTCCTGCACGGAGCAGCAGATCTGTGCGGGATAAATTATTAATCAAGAAACAGCCCCCAGTCAGCAGCGCCGCGTCAGCAAAGCCCTGCGGGCATCGGGAGAGCTAAAAATAGGCAGGCATGCTGAGCGGGGAGAGGGGACGCGGGGGCCTCCATCGCTGCTCGGGGTCCCCTCCTGCACATCTCCAGCACTGGCAGGGGGGGAAGCTGCAGAGCCTGCAGGCAGCCTATCCTCAGCCGTGAGACAGGAAAAAATCCCCAATCTCCACATGGGCAATTTTCAGCAGAAATTAAAAACAAAAACCCACAACCCCTGGAGCCTGCTCTGGAAAGGCTCGTTCATGCTCATATTTTTCTGCTGAATAGTTAAAGGGAAGAGGATTTGTTGGACAAAACGCCGGCTGCAGTCTGCCCCAAGAGGAGCAGGAGAGGAGCTAGCCCGGCTGGCTGGCAGCGTGGTGGGGAGAGCTCTTACCAGCAGCTGCGGGACGGGCAGGGGCTTCCCCTCCTGGCTCAGGGAGACATAGGTGAAGAAGGCGCTGACGGCACGGTACCGCTCCTGAGGCTCGTCCACGAACGGGTCGGCATCCACAAAGACTTCGATTTCCATGGATTTATTGCTCGTGAAGGTCATGCGCCCCGAAATGGTGATGACGCTGCCTGCGTAGCAGAGAGGGGACGGTTAAGCAGGCGGACCTGCTTCTGCTCAGAGGAAGGGAGCAAGGGGTCCTGCGTGTTTTATGTGTAAGCCATGTCTTAAGCAGAGCTTCTTGGCACAGGACAAGTCTAACAGGGACTAAGTTTCTCTGCCAGTGCGTCCTGAGCGCACACCCAAGGGAGCCAGGATGCGGCACCGCAGGAGAGCAAAGCGCCTGCCACCCCCCTGGTACCTTTTTTGATCTTCTTGTGGAAGTTGATGGCATCCACCGAGGCAGTGACAATGTTGGTCTTGCAG